CTTTCCAGCTTTTGTGCCAACCTGGCCCCTAGGGGACTTGCCCCTTCCTTACAGCTGCATAAAATCCCATATTATGGAGCACCTCAGCAAGCGAGAGTCCAAAAGTGGCAGGCTAAAACCCAGAACCTCAATCAGTGGTTGAGACCAAATGAGAGACTCTCTCCTGGGCACAAAGAAGACTGGGCGAGTTGGAAGGCACTGAACAGGCTGCGTTCTGGCACCATGAGATGCAGAGCCAACCTTACGAAATGGGGCTACAAAGTGGATTCCATGGCATGCGAGTGTGGAGAAGAGCAAACCACAGCCCACCTGCTGCAATGCACCCTGAGCCCTGCCACATGCACAAGGGAGAACCTTCTTGCGGCAACACCAGAAGCACTCCAAGTGGCCAGATACTGGTCAAAGGACATTTAATCAATTACCAAACTCACAAATTTTGTATTTTGTCTGTTTGTTTCCTTTGTTCTGTTAGAAATGTAATATAATCGACTGGTTGCCCTGACACGATAAATAAATAAATAGATAAACCCCGCTACCATCTCCTGAAGGACTTGGTGCGGCTTACAAGAGGCTGAGCCCAAATACATCAGTAAAACACAACAATACAATAATAAAAAAAACTCATAAACAAAACAAAAACATTAACAATAACACCGCGGCACATTAAAACCTGTGGCAGGGCCAAATGTAATACTTAAAATCTTTAAAAGTGCTGGGCATGATCAGGTGAAATAGGATAGATATTTTAGGGATAGGTGGGGCGTGCAGGCAATTCTAGATCTCTAGTAAAGTGCATTTGGGACATATTGCTTGGAGTTTCCTTGTTCTGGGAAGGCACACTGGAACAACCACGTTTTCAAGCTCCTTCTAAAGACTGCCAACGTTGGGGTATGTCTGATGTCCTTGGGGAGTGAGTTCCAGAGTCAAGGGGAACCATATTATGTGCCTTGATATTCTAAGTCAGAGGTCCCCAAACTTTTTAAACAGAGGGCCAGTTCACAGTCCCTCAAACTGTTGGAGGGCCAGATAATAATTTGAAAAAAAAACATGAATGAATTTCTATGCACACTGCACATATCTTATTTGTAGCGCAAAAGACACTTTAAAACAATACAATAATTAAAATGAAGAGCAATTTTAACAAATATAAACTTATTTGTATTTCAATGAGAAGTGTGGGCCTGCTTTTGGTTGATGAGATAGAATTGTTGTTCAATGTATTGTCGAAGGCTTTCATGGCCGGAATCACTGGGTTGTTGTAGGTTTTTCCGGGCTATATGGCCATGTTCTGGAGGCAATTTTTCTCCTGACATTTCACCTGCATCTATGGCAAGCATCCTCAGAGGTAGTGAGAATTGTTGTTGTGTGCTTTCAAGTAATTTCAGACTTAGGTTGACCCTGAGCAAGGGTTGGGTAAATGACCTTGGAGGGCCGCATCCGGCCCCCGGGCCTTAGTTTGAGGACCCCTGTTCTAAGTTATATGGCTGTGTGGCAGGGCTTCACGAGCAAGCATGCTGTGCATCACAGCCCAAAGCTTGAGGAGGCTCTATTGCTTTTCAGGGTTGTGTAGAACAGAGAACTATTAGGAGTTGTGTTACCAAGTTGTGTCACAAACAAACT